AAATTTCACCATCCAGTTAGGCTCATCAACCATAACTCCTTCAAAAACAGCTAGAAACCTTGGAGTTGTGATTGATGATAAGTTGAATTTCTCAGATCACATTGCTAAAACTACCCGGTCCTGGAGATTTGCTTTATACAACATTAGGAAGATCAGGCGCTTTATTTCAGAACATGCAACACAACTCCTTGTTCAAGCTCTTGTTCTGTCCAGGCTGGACTATTGCAATGCTCTCTTGCCAGGTCTTCCAGCCACTTCTATCAAACCTTTAAATGCTAACTATATATATACTAGTATATATAGAGAGCTGTTAAAATCTTTTTTGTTGTTGATTCAGTTTCAATTTTGTATTCATGTTCAACCTATCCAGGTATCTTATCGTTTAGAAGGGGGACGTAGATTGTATTGCTTGTTACTTGTTATCTTTCCTGTGGCTGTCTACAAGAGATGACGTAGGAGGTCTGGGGGATTATGGGCGAAACACTGGAATAGGAAGTGCGATTGAATGGGTGAATAAAGCGAGACCTCAGTTCTACAAAAGGTGTCAGTTAATCTGTCTATATGCATCTACATGGCTAATCTTGCGTGTTGATTTAAGCTCTCTTAATTATTAAATAAATTCAATTGATTCACTTGCATTAGATATTTTCTTTCAGCTGCCTTGTCGAAATTTGCTCCTAGCCATATCGGCCTAGAAAATCACAACTTTTCATTTTCCGTTAGTCTTAGTAAACGATGTAACTACAGAAGAGTTTTAAATAGGAAAAAAAATATTGAAACTCTTTGGTCAGTTTTGAGCGAGATGCTAACGGTCTAATCAGATTCAATGATCTATGCTAAGCTACAGCTAAAAGTGCTACCGCCAGACCCGGAGATCAGCTGAATGGATTAGAAAACGGTAAAACTCAACTGTTTAACTCTAGGGGAGTCGGAAAATGAGCCTATTTTCAAAAATAGTGGAGTGTTCCTTTAACCTCTATTTCTGTTTCCCTTTGAAAAGACTTGACACATCTTGAAACACAGAGAGCAATATGTCAATAGCAGTGTTCAGATGCACAAACTTCAGCTTCTACACTTACTTGTCAAACATTTCAGGAGTTGCCAATACTCTGCTAATGCAGGGCCAGGCCACAGTGCATACTGGCATTATCATATCATTTTAGCATATTCATGTTTTGCCTGTGTTGAGAAACAGGAAGAATGTCATCCCGGTGACCGATATTTGAACTGCCTCCTCTCAACCTGCTCGACATTTTGAGTTCACAATGAGCTTACATATTTATTCACACTGTGAGTATTACATTCACAGCATGAGAGTAGTGTGATGTCACTGTGATCATCACGTGATCTCACATGTTGACTGGGCTGACTTAGGCTGCAAAAAGACCTATATGTGGCAATCCACCCTGAAAAACTGCAGAGCCAATGATGGATGTAGGTTTATTACAAAAACAGGAGCAGTAGAAAGCAGTAGACATATTTGTGACCCTGCAGCACAAAAGCAGTGTTAAGTCGCTGGGGTATATTTGTAGCAATAGCCAACAATACATTGCATGGGTCACAATTATACATTTTTCTTTTTATTTTTCATGATAGCTTATTGTCTGTATTGAGCCGTGGGTCTCTCAATACCTTCATACCTTAATTGTTTTATTTTCTCAATAAAAAATTTAATGTATTTTATTGTAGCGTCATTGGTTTATTTTTGGCCTGACGGCTTAAAGGGGTCATATGATGCTTTTTTAAAGATCATTATTTGGTGTATTTGGTGTAACAGAATATGTTGACATGCTTTAACGTTCAAAAAACACATTATTTTTCAAATACTGTACATTATTAGCGGACAGGCCTGTGTTCACAAACCCCTTCACACCGCCTCCGTGTTTACACAAATCCCACAAATAACCATCATGAGAGGAGTGTCAGTTTGGTCTAGGTTTATGAGCTTTGCTTTGTTTTTACGTCAAGTTGATTACTAATGACAAGTCAGCTAGCCTGTTAGCTGGCTAGCCTGTTTAACAGCAGCAGATGATCACAAATAAATGCGCAGCGACCCGAATACATTGATCTCACTGCAGCGGCTCCCTCAGTGAGCATATAAGTTACAATCTACAGTAAACGTGTCACTGATTAAAACATGTGTTCCGGTAACGGTGTTTGTGGGGGTCGGTTTGCATGTTTATGTCACACATATTTATTACAAATTGAGAGCCTCCCCTTTATCATGTGCTGTGGACACAGTAAACTATCATATATGAGTGCCATAAAACATCAAAGCAAGTGGCGTCCATTCAAACAAATGCTGTATATTTTCTTAGAACTCGATTTTTGAGCATCTTCTGCTGTTGACTGTCCCCTTAAAGTTCACACTGGTGTCCTTGCAGAGTATATGGACTAGAGTGTGTTAGGGATTGATTGTTGATAAGCATACAATGGCACTGTCATGTGTGTCTGCATTTAAGCCGGTGCAGCCGTTGATTTTTTTTAATTTCATATCTAATTATCTTTCTTTAAGATACATGCCACATGGTCTGATATTGTCATGCAATCACATGTACATATATATATTTTTTTCTTTCAGCGTGGATTAGTGTAATGTCTAATTTAGGTTTGATTGATATTATAATCTGTTTGCAATTCAACATTATGATGAGCCACAGTAAAGGCCTGAGTGAAAACTGTATTAGCACAATAACATAGTTTATTTCACTGCGGCTTTAAATGCATGAGCTCTTTAAACCTGGATGGATTCTGTTTTGCTGTCAGTGTTTTTGTTGTTCAGTTTCATTAGCTGGAGAGAACAAAATATCTAAAAGTGATCCTGACATTATTCTGTGTCGTTAATCCTTATTCTTACAGAATTGGGATGATTATTAAAACTTTACAGTATCGTTAAAGTTACCGTCCTTGGTGTGAACAGCCTTAAGTGGATAGTTCACCAACAATTAATATGTTTATCATCATTTACTCACCCTCATGTTGTTTCAAACCTGAATGACTTACTCTCTTTTTATGGGATATAAAAAGATGGTTTGAAGAATGTTGCTAACCAAACAGTTGCTGGTACCCATTGACTTTCATAGTATGGAGAACTATAGAAGTCAATGGCTACCGTCAACTGTTTGGTTACAATATATCTTCTTTTTTGTGTTCAACAGAAGAAAGAAATGCATACAGGTTTGGAACAGCATTAGGGTGAGTATATGATGGCAGGATTTTCATTTTCTTATCCCTTTAAGAGGAAGTTGCTGCTTCTGTAAGCCCATATGTACGGATGTTGCGGTAAATAGATAACATTTGAATTTGGGTAACCTTCGTTGTGTCGAACAGTTGGTAGCTTCATGTATCGCTTCTTCTCTCTATTTAATCTCAGATGACCATGGATGAGAAGTATGTCAACAACATCTGGGACCTCTTGAAAAATGCCATCCAGGAGATTCAGAGGAAAAACAACAGTGGGCTGAGCTTTGAGGAGCTCTACAGGAACGCCTACACCATGGTCCTACACAAGCACGGAGAGAAGCTCTACACGGGCCTGAGGGAGGTGGTCACAGAACATCTCATCAACAAAGTAAGAGCCAGACGTCTCTGTTGTGCCTCTTCTCCACGGTGAGGGTGACAGTGTTTCCACAGTTGGCAGATCCCCTGGCCGATGACTGGATCTGGCACGAGAAGCAATACGTTACGTGCAACTTTTATGCATTTGGTAGATGCTTTTGTCCAAAGTTCATGCATTCCCTGCATGACGTTGCTAATGCAGTGCTCTACTGTTTAAGCTACAGGAAGATCTGACACCAGTTCAGTGGAAAAAGGATATCAGAGGGTAGAAAGTAATGCTTGGAGGAGATTACAAGTAAAGGCCAGTTCGTAGCAACATGAATGTTCAGGACATACATTTGCTCAGATTGTCTGTTTAGACCAGGGCTGTCCAAACTCAGTCCTGGAGGGCCGGTGTCCTGCAGAGTTTAGCTCCCACCCTAATTAAACACACCAGAACCGGCTAATCAAGCTTTTATAGGCATACTAGAAACTTACCAGCTGGTGTGTTGAGGCAAGTTGGAGCTAAACTCTGCAGGACACCGGCGCTCCAGGACCGAGTTTGGAGACCCCTGGTTTAGACCAATGCGAAAAAAGAATGAAAATGCAAATTCACTCTTAGAAAGTTGTGCACCTACGGTCAGTTTCAGATAGGGGTGCACCAATGTATCGGCAGATAAAAGCAGTTATCAGCACTATCTGACATCGGTTTAAACCAGCCGATTATATCCTGTCAATCAAAAGGGGACAGAAAAACATATCAGACTGCATGTGACTTGTCATACAGTACTATATATGAAGAAAGTGTCTCCAATGTTGAATTTAGGTAATAATAATGCAATATTGTTTTAATGCAATCTTAAAAACAGCGCTGTTAATACCTGTTTGACCCTATGAATCTAGTTAAAGCCAGTTTTGCCTGGTCCATGGTTTTTCCCCTTAGCAAACAATCTGATAAGAAACAAAGTCTCAGCTTTCAAATTTGGCCCGTTTTATCATGTAAATCAAACAATGAATGCCATTTTGATGCTCTTAAGTGTGTTGGGACAGATGGCTTTAGCTGCTTCCGTTCAAGCGGCATCATCTCTTTCACTGTAATAAGTTATAGAGCAAAATAAAGATGAATGAATAGCAGAAGGTATGTTAAGAGAGTGTACACTTACTGAGATGTCTCATGTAATCACTCAATCAGCGTTTCAATAGTTTCAACGATTAAAACAGCTTGTGAACAATAAGTCGCTTAACGTTACATTTACCTCAGGAAAGTTATGCAGTGTCCACAGTTGGTTAGTTAGCTAGAAAAGAACAAATCTAGAGAGGAGCTTATTTACTGTTAATTATTTATGCATGTTTGAATACATCAGACATGAAGACAAGAAGTTTTTATGAAAACGGTCTTATGTTCAATTGAAACGTTTGTATACAACAATTTCATTTGAGTGTTATCATTATATCTGAAAATAAATATCAGGGGAATATAATAGTTTGAGTTCCGTTATTAGTTTGAACCTTTTATATGTTATAGTAGTGGACCAAATTAAAGGGTTTTCAGTATAGTTTACACCGCATCAGTTGTGAGAGATTTTATTTTGCTTAAGAAAAACTGACATGTAGGCCTACCTGAAATATATACAATTGTGTAATACTGTATATTGTCATATTTTCTGAGACTGTTAGCATACTGTCTATACTGTAGCTTAAGCATCTGACAGCATAAGAACAGCACAAAAGCTCAAGACATTACCACCAAACTATCAGTATCAGCAGATAGCATGCCTAGTTTCTGACACTCACTTAAATGTTTTGAAATAGCGGTTCAGATTTCTGCATTCGCTATGGTGTTTATCAAACACAGTAGTACAGAGACAAGAGGGCCATATTTTTCCTCTGCTGTTGGTTTAATGAAATGAGTGTGTTCGAGGTGCGATGTTCACTGTACTGCATGTGAGACGAGTGCCTCATTAACAGATCACACCAAGTTGGGTTTCTGCTTGGAATGATTTAGCAGGAAGCCTTGTTTATCCTGTACTTATGTCCAATTTTTGTCTGTTAAAAGGTACGAGATGATGTGTTAAACTCCCTGAATAACAACTTCCTGCAAACACTGAATCAAGCCTGGAATGACCACCAGACGGCTATGGTGATGATCAGAGACATCTTGATGTACATGGTGGGTCCTTATGACAATCTTTCATTGCATGTTGCTGGATTTTGTCTTTGTGCTCCTCTATGTGAGTGGTAGTTTGTTACAGGGCTTGCAAGGCATCACTGTGTTGATATGCCTCAAACATTCTGGTTCGCTGTATTTCCAGTTGTAATTCCCATTTTTATAGTTGCAGGAGAATTGGAGGTCAGTGTGCGCGTCTGCATCTTTCAGCAGGGGAGCGTTAAAGGGATAGTTCACCCAAAAATACAAATTCTGTCATCATTCTCTCACCTGTCATTTCAAAACTCTATGGCTTTCTTCTTTGGAACGCAACAGATGTCTTGGTTCACATAATATTTTGCACACTTAAGATGTGTGTTTCGTAACCAGGTGATTACCTGTCAAATAAAAAGGGTAACGTCTTCTGTCAGTGTGCGTACTGCGCTGCCTGTGTAGTTTTGATGTGTCAACACAGATTTCTAGGCCCAGTTACATGAAAACCATTAAGTGATTTTTAATTAAGTGATTTCCCAGAGGGGGGAAACATCCCTAAGGCAAGGAATTTCTTTAAAAGCTTTGCAACAAAAATGTTGTAACCATCACTTAGATAAGTGCTTCTAATAAGCATAATAGGCTAAACACAGTGGTGGAGAACTGGTTGCTATTGCCACAACATCTGTCAAAATGAACAGAATATAACAGAGCACTGATTTTTAAACAAATTTTATCTTTACTACATCTATACAGTAAGGGTGGGAATCACAGGGTACCTCACGATACCGATAATATCACAATACAGCAATTCTGCTATAATTGATAGATATATTGCTAGACAATCCTATAATGATACATCATGATATCTAACTAAGAGAACAAAATGCCTGTGAAAAGGTTAAGTGCTGGTTCTCTCTCTTCATTCAAGTCCAAACTGCTAAAAATGGTCATTTACTCACTCTCAAGTTGTTTTAAACCTGAATGAGTTTCTTCCTTCTGTTGAACATAAAAGTTATTTTGAAGAATGTGGGTAACCGAACAGTTGCTGGTCCGCAGAGCCTTCCATAGAATAATTATTTCCTTCCATCAAAATGAATGGGGAACAGCAACTGTTTGGTTACCCAAAATATATGATTTTGCGTTCAGCACAAGAAAGAAATTAATACAGGTTTGGCACAACATGAGAGCAAGGAAATAATGACAGAATTGAATTTTTTGGGTGAACTGTCCCTTTAATGACAAGCGGTAGCATGTTTACTACAATTAGTCTGCTGTCGCTTTAAGAGCTGCACGCATCTGTTTACTTTCACTTTAGACATAACCAACTGTGTTTATATCTAAACCTTGTGTGTTTTTTGACAGTATTCGTGCAGATGCAAAAGATAACTTAGTCCAGTAATCAGGTGCTGTTTGACTGGCTTTTTAGTGTGCGCACTTCAGGTGTAGACGCGTATTCTTTTGCGTTCAGCACAAGAAAGAAATTAATACAGGTTTGGCACAACATGAGAGCAAGGAAATAATGACAGAATTGAATTTTTTGGGTAAACTGTCCCTTTAATGACAAGCGGTAGCATGTTTACTACAATTAGTCTGCTGTCGCTTTAAGAGCTGCACGCATCTGTTTACTTTCACTTTAGACATAACCAACTGTGTTTATATCTAAACCTTGTGTGTTTTTTGACAGTATTCGTGCAGATGCAAAAGATAACTTAGTCCAGTAATCAGGCGCTGTTTGACTGGCTTTTTAGTGTGCGCACTTCAGGTGTAGACGCTCAGAAAAGGGCGCACGTCAGAACAACACTCGAATGAAATGTTTAACCGGCAAGGCTTTAAAGCACATGCAAATAATGCAGTTCTTGCATGTTGCATACTCTGTCGATTTTGTTTGTCCCATCAATTGTATAAAAGCCAAGGTGGGTCCTTTGGACTTAAACGTGGCTGGGGCATCTATTATTTTACTCGCACTGCTGTCTGCCATCCCATTAAAAACTTATTTTTCTTAGGCTAGTTAAAGGGATAGTTCACCCAAAAATGAAAATTACCCCATATTTTACTCACCTTCAAGCCATCCTAGGGTGTATATGACTTTCTTCTTTCAGTTGAATCCAATCAGAGTTATATAAAAAAAATATCCTGGCCATGAACGTGTGTACGACAGTTAGTGTAAACTAGAGATTACGGTTTAGAGACTTATAAAGGAGATTACGGAGATTATAAAGGTTTAAATATGGTTATTTTTATTACAAAAACGCATCGATTCACTTCAGGAGGCCTTTAAAAGATTAACCCTGGAGCCATGTGGGACACTTTTTATTACGGATGGGTGCGCTTTATTGGACTTCTTTTGGATTATTAGCAAAAACACCCATTCACTGCCATTATAAAGCTTGGAAGAGCCAGTATATATATTTGTTTCTATAACTATATATAACTTCTTTAAGGGAATTCAAATACACTTTACTCGTCTCTTCTGGATAGTTGTGTATTATGTTTCCAACCAAATGGACCGTTGCTTGGAGAAGAAGAGCTTTATCTCCGTTATGAGCTTCATCCTTCTCTCTCTGTCTCCCCTTCTGTCTTCGCACAGGACCGGGTGTATGTTCAGCAGAATAATGTAGAGAACGTCTATAATCTAGGTCTCATCATCTTCAGAGATCAGGTGGTTCGTTACGGCTGCGTTCGGGACCATCTGAAGCAGACCTTACTAGACATGATTGCCCGTGAGAGGAGAGGAGAAGTGGTGGACAGGTGGGTGTCTTTGCTTTGTTTTAGTAGTGTCGCACATATAGACCATGCAGAAAACTGTGCGCGAGTCATCATAATACGGCCATTTTTGATGGCACACAAAAACACTTTTTTGTTTTTAATCTATCAAACCCTTTGTTCACACATTAATGCCAGATTTAGTTTTTTTGCATTTCTTGCAAGTACATTTTTTAAATCCTGTGATTTAAGTTATGTGCCTCATAAGTACTCATAGGTAAATGTATAAATTAAGCCTATACCGATCTTTCATATCTACTTGGGCATTGTTCCCTTTCAGCTTAATTCAGTCTTTCTCATTTCCCCTTTTTCTGTTCTGTTGCCCAGAATGCTTTCTCCCTCTGTTCATTTTTGACTTTTGAGAGTAAGAGCCGATAGACAGAGGGGTTAATGGTCACCATCTAGAAGCAAAATGCATTTTCATATAAAGCTTATAATTGGATATATAATAAATATTATGCTACATGAAAAAAAAAAAATCCACTTTTGGGATTTAAAACAACGGCACAGACAATATTTTAAATATAAGTTAAGTATATAAGTAAATATAAAAACTTACCAAAGGATTGTTGGTTTCTTTCAAAGTTACATATGAAATCTACTTGATCAGAAATCCTTAAGATGCATGTGCTGCCACTGCCGACGCAGGTGATTTACCTAACATGCATATATATATATATACAGTGGGTACGGAAAGTATTCAGACCCCCTTAAATTTTTCACTCTTTGTTATATTGCAGCCATTTGCTAAAATCATTTAAGTTATTTTTTTTTCCTCATTAATGTACACACAGCACCCCATATTGACAGAAAAACACAGAATTGTTGACATTTTTGCAGATTTATTAAAAAAGAAAAACTGAAATATCACATGGTCCTAAGTATTCAAACCCTTTGCTCAGTATTTAGTAGAAGCACCCTTTTGATCGAATACAGCCATGAGTCTTTTTGGGAAAGATCCAACAAGTTTT